AATAGTTAATTTATTGATTGTTTGTATTTAGAAATATTTTTTGTTTGTATTTATAACTTGAAATTTGTGTTAATAAAAATCAAAATGTAATTATTTTTTTCAAATAAACAAAAAATGGATAAAAACATAATCAAAATGCGTTTATTAACTTGTTCTATTTTGTTTTACCATTCTATTTTTGCAACGGACTGGATTCGCAGTCTAATGTATAGTATCTACTATCGCTAATTAAAAATTATAATTACAGAGTAAATTTTTTATTGATTTTTACCATCTGACATATTCAAAGAAATGCTGGTAGTAGTATATAAATCGTGCCGATTTAGGGGGGGACTACTTCCATGCCTAAATCTTTACAATTTCGTCGCTTCACTCCGTTATTTAGATTTAAATATTTTATGGTTATTATTTCAAAGTGATAATTTTATTTTTTCTTATCTTAAATGACCACTACACAAGAATACTTGAAAAAGAAATTTCACAATTTTACTAAAACTTATTCAGAAGAAATTTTGGATTGTTTTAGAATTAAAGATGGAATTATTAAAGCAGCATCTACTAAAATTTTAAATAGAGAATGTAGAAAAGAATTATTGAAAAAGAATATTGAATCTAGAGATGACTATCTTAAACTTAGAAAAAAATAAATATCCAAATTAAAAATTATCAAAAATCAATAGTAAAATTAGAACAACCATTTTAAAGAATTGTGTTTGATAAATTAAATAAAATTGATAAACAAACTTTTGGATTAATTAATAAGAAAGCCTCAACAATTAAAGCTATTGACGAAACAAAAATTCAAAAAGAACTCGATAAAAAGAATTTAGAATGGAGTTTAAATCATAATTCCGAAATAGATAATAAAACAATATCTCAAGACTATTATAATTATGTTAATGATCAACTTAAGAATAAAAGAGAAAACGAATACATGATTAATAATTATGATAATATCAAAAATAATTTAGAATGGAGTTTAAACAATAATATTAAACAAATAGATGAAGATGAAAACAGAAATCATATTTATGATGAATATCAGCCATACAAACGATCAATAAATGATAATGGAGATAAAACTGAATATAAAACAGAAGGTGTAACATAATACTTAGATAATAATAAAATTCATGCTGATCTTAATTGTGGTTTTGAAGAGAAATTAAGATGAATTGGTATGATTAGACAGTTTTTTAATCAATTAATTGAAAAACTAGATTCAACAGCAAATTTAGTTTATAAATATAGATTTACTGATACCACTTGGAAAACATATATGTTAAATTCTAAAGAAAATATAGATGAATTTCTTAAATCAATATCAAACGAAACTCTTGGTTTATATAATCAATCTGAAATTGAAAACAGTTCAGATTCTGCATTTTATGTTCAACATGAAGTTCCAGAACCTTTATTTATTACAGAATTGATAATTGAAGAATATGATTATAAAAATGAAATTAATGAATATCGAAATAATGGTGCAGCATTCTTTGCTTATATTATACAGAAGAAATATAATGTTTCTCTAAATATTTAAAATGGCTCAAATATTTGATTCTCTTAGTGGTGAAATGGGAAAGATAGACAGGAATTAAATATAATTGGTTTATATATGCGTGACCACAGCTAAATAGATGAGAAAAATATGATTATATCGGGGTCATTGTATTCAGAATCAGAAAT